ATAACGAGTTAATGGGTGCAGCACACCATCATGTCACATGTATACATATGTAACAAACCTGCATGTTATGCACATGTACCCTGGAACTTAAAGTATAATTTTAAAAAATGAAAAAAAAATTAGCTGGGCATTGTGGTGCATGCCTGTAATCCCAGCTACTCGGGAGGCTGAGGCAGGATAATTGCTTGAACCTGGGAGGCAGAGGTTGCGGTGGGCCGAGATCGCACCATTGTACTGCAGCCTGGGCAATAAGAGAGAAACTCCGTTTTAAAAGAAAAAAAATCATAAGTCAGCTTTTATTTTAAAAAAAGTATTACCTCTGCCACCACCCCCTATCCACTAATCACTCCCTTCTTTGGGTAGACCTGGGTCCAGATTGCTTTTGAAACACTAAAAAGGCATGGCAAATCAGCTTGGAGAAGAGCAAGCAAAAACGTGTTGTCACTGGAGCAGTGCTAATGGCTTCCTCATACTTTAAAGTCTTAACTATACTGAAGTCATGTTTAAAGCCTCAATGTATGAAGTTGCTTATATTAATGGGGACCCCCCCAACATTTTTCTTTTTTGAAAGATGGCAGCAGGGGGTCGGGCGTGGTGGCTTACATTTGTAATTACAGCACTTTGGGAGGCCAAGGTGGGCAGATCACCTGAGGTCAGGAGTTTGAGGCCAGCCTGGCCAACATGGTAAAACCTCATCTCTACTGAAAATACAAAAAATTAGCTAGGCATGGTGGCAGGTGCCTGTAATCACAGCTACTTGGGAGGCTGAGGCAGGAGAATCAATTGAACCCAGGAGGTGGAGGTTGCAGTGAGCCAAGACCGCACCATTGCACTCCAGCGTGGGAGACAAAACGAGACTCCATCTCAAAAAAAAAAGGAAGGAAGGGAGGGAGGGAGGGAGGGAAGGAAGAGAGAGAGAGAAAGGAAAGAAGGAAGGAAGGAAGGGGAAGGAAGGAAGGAAAAGAAAGAGAAAGGAAAGAAAGAAAGAAAGAAAGAAAGAAAGAAAGAAAGAAAGAAAGAAAGAAAGAAAGAAAGAAAGAAAGAAAGAAAAAAAAACGAAGAAGAAGAAGAAGGAAGGAAAGAAAGAAAGAGACAGACAGAGAGAGAGAGAAAGAAAGAAAAGAAAGAAAGAAAGAAAGAGAAAGGTGGTAGCAGGGTCTAACAAGTGCATGTGGCACCTTGAGGCAGTGGTAGTCATACGTGCCTTCTCAGTGATGCACTGTGCACCAGAGTAACTTTAAAGTATGAGGAAGCCATTAGCACTGCTCCAGTGACCACATATTTTTCTTCCTCTTCTCCAAACTGATTTGCCATATTACTTTTGGAGGCTAGATTCAGGCCCAGTTAAAGCACCGGGTGAGTTATTCCTCTGTGACATTCTGTTGTCACCAAGGGGTCTTGTTAGAGAGGTGGCTAATGCCAGCTCATATATGTATTATTCAAAGGTAGGGCTCAAGGTGTGGTCTGAGTTTTTTTAAGGTTAACATCATCGTCAAGTACCCAGAGAAGTGCCAAAGAGAGGAAGATGGAAAGAGGCTGGTTCCACGGGAAAGGATTCCTCCTCGGCTTCATCCTCCACCTGCTGCTGCATAAGAGTAAGAGCTGAGCAGACATGTAACTCCTGGGAAGCCGAGAAAACAGGCTAATATTTGTTATGCCTAGATAGTCAATGATTGGATGTTCATTATGGTAAAAATGATGCTCATGTCATTGACAACTTTGTACCTCTTCCTAGGATCCTAACATTTAGTTGACTCTTTTCTTTTTTTTCTTTCTTTCTTTTTTTTTTTCTTTTTTTTTTTTGAGATGGAGTCTTGGTCTATTACCCAGGCTAGAGTGCAGTGGCACCATCTCGGCTCACTGCAACCTCCACTTCCCAGGTTCAAACGATCTCGTGCCTCCTGAGTCGCTGGGATTACAGGCACCCGCCACCACGCCCAGCTAATTTTTGTATTTTTAGTAGAGATGGGGTTTCACCATGTTGGCCAGGCTGGTCTCGAACTCCTGTCCTCAGGTGATCCACCCGCCTGGGCCTCCCAAAGTGTTGGGATTACAGGCGTGAGCCACTGAGCCCAGCCTGAGAATTCTTTAAGATAATCTCAGTGATGAAGACTACTAAATGTTAGAACAATCACAGCACATAGTAAAGACACAGTAAATACTCATTAAATTGAAAAACTGAAATTGATTTGTTTTCTTAAGATCTCATATGTCTCACACTACCTACCTGATTACCTCCCTTATCATTAATTTATTAGCATCTATGACATATTAATACAGTGAGGCGGAGAACTGTGAGTGCAAAATTTGTCACTGACATCACTCGCATGGCTCCACATTGGAGGTAAGCAAGAGAAGGACCCTGGGGGAAGGTGGAGATTGTTAAGGAGTTGCAGTGAGATTGTTAAGGATGTGGCAGGACACTGTAAAGTGGCGGTTAGGGTTGAGTTTGCGTACACATCTGGACAGGTTTTGCATGGGGATAAAACAATGGCACTGAGGATGGATCCCTGACTCAGCTTACCTCATCAACTTCCACCATTTGCCTACCAGCCCAGCCCACCCTTCCTGGACCAGGAAGGAGGAGCTCACTTGCTTCTCCCAGTGCCCCCTGTTTTCTCTCCATGCAGAAACACTCTCCAGGCCCCCCAGCCCTGGCCCTCCTCTCTCAGAGTCTCTGCTCACTACAGGAAAGGGCAACTCTTTAATTATCAATTGCTCAGGCTTTGGCCAGCATGGGGTGGACCCTGCTGCCTTTCAAGCAGTGTTTGACAGAAAGGCTCTCAGTCCAGTCACCAACTACAGCATCCCCATTCATGTCAACATCACCTTCACCCTGTCTGCCATCTGGAAGTGGTAAGTCCTCACCCAACACTGCAGTCATCTAGTGGTGAGCAGTGGACCCTCTGATTGGATTTTTGTTTGTTTGTTTTTATTTTTTTGAGATGGAGTCTCGCTCTTGTCACCCAGGCTGGAGTGCAGTGGTGCAATCTCAGCTCACTGCAACCTCTGCCTCCCAGTTTCAAGCGATTCTCCTGCCTCAGCCTCCGGAATGTGCCGCCACACCCAGCTAATTTTTGTATTTTTAGTAGAGACAGGGTTTCACCACGTTGGCCAGACTGGTCTCAAATTCGTGACCTCAGGTGATCCTCCTGCCTTGGTCTCCCAAAGTTCTGGGATTACAGGCATGAGCCACCATGCCCGGCCCTCTGATTGAATTTTGTAAAATTGGTTACAACAAAAAATCAAACAACCAAATTCAAAAATGGGCAAGAGACTTGAAAAGACATTTCTCCAAAGAAGATATACAAATAGCCAATAAGCACAAGAAAAGATGTTTGTTCAATGTTACTAATAGTTAAGAAAATGCAGATCAAAACTACAATAAGATACCATCTAACACCCATTAGGAGGGCTACTATTAAAAACAAACAGAAGCCGGGCAAGGTGGCACATGCCTGTAATCTCAGCACTTTGGGAGGCTGAGGTGGGTGGATCACCTGAGGTCAGGAGTTCAAGACCAACCCGACCAACATGGTGAAACCCTGTCTCTACTAAAAATACAAAAATTAGCTGGGTGTGGTGGCAGGTACCTGTAATCCCAGCTACTAGGGAGACTGAGACAGGAGAATTGCTTGAACCCAGGAGGTGGAGGTTGCAGAGAGCCAAGATTGTGCCACTGCACTCCAGCCTGGGAGACAGAACAAGACTCTGTCTCAAAAAAACAAAACAAAACAAAAAAACAGAAAATAACAAGTGTTGGTGATGATGTGGAGAAATTGGAACCCTTGTGCACTGCATGTGAGGATGTAAAATGGTGTAGCCACTGTGGAAAAACAGTATGGCTATTTCTCAAAATATTAAAAATAGTATTACCATGCAACCAAATAATTATGCTTCTGGATAAATACCCCAAAAAAGTGAAAACAGGATATTTGTACACTTACATTCATAGCAGAATTACTCACAATAGTTAAAACTCGGAAGCAGTCTAAGTGTCTATTGATAGATGAATGGACAGATTAAATGTGGTACGTACTTACAATGGAATATTATGCAGCCTTCAAGTGGAACAAAATTCTAACACTTGCCACAATGTGGGCAAGCCTTGAGGATATTATGCTAAGTGAAATAAGTCAGTCACAAAAGGACAAATGGTGTATATGTCTAATTTTATAGAGACAGAAAGTAGAATAGCGGTTGCCAGGGATTGGAGAGAGGGTGAAAAAGGGAATTACTGTTTAATGGGTGTAGAGTTTCCATTTTGCAAGAAGAAAAGATCTCTGGTGATGGAGGGTGGTGGCTGGACAACAATGTGAATGTGTTTAATGCCACTGAACTGTACACTTAAAATGGTTAAGAGAGTACATTTTACGTTATATATTTTTATCACAATAAAATATTGAAAAAATTATTTTTAGCCTGGGCAGCATGGCGAAACCCCATCTCTACTAAAAATACAAAAAGTTACCTGGGCATGGTGGTACATGCCTCTAATCCCAGCTGCTCAGGAGGCTGAGGCAGGAGGCAGGAGGCAGGAGGCAGGAGAATCGCTTGAACCCGGGAGGCAGAGTTTGCAGTGAGCCGAGATGGCACCACTGCACTCCAGTCTGGGAGACAGAGCAAGATTCTGCCTCAAAAAAAAGAAAAAATGACACTTAAAAGTGTTTTTAAAAGTAGAGCTGTATTCTGGGGAGTGGAAAGGCATGATAAGAAATGCTGCAATGACATTACTACAGGTAAAATCTGTTCTTTTTGGAATACTTGTCAAGAAACATTTTCCCAATAGACCTTCTTACTAGGTTTTTTTGGTTATATTTTCCATGTACTTTGAATTGTTTTGACCTGTATGTTTCCATGGCTTAGATCAAAAATCATTATTGCCACATGGAACAGACTTGAAAGTGAGCAAGGAGGGGGTGGTGGCATGGGACCTGCCTTCCTGAAGTTAATCATCTAGATGACAGCTGCTTTTCCAGGATTCACATCTTCAACTGGTGACATCATTCCTGTGGCTAAATATGGTATGACAGACTCAGTTTCCCCTTTCCTGTACTCTGGTACTTCTGGAAAAAAGGGTCCTTTTTTCCACTGCTAGGTCCAGTTTTGCAGAGTATATTGGATAAAGCTGAAAATATCCATAAATTAGACAAGGTCAAATGATCAGACCAATAATGAAAATATAAAACTTTCTGATTATTCTGCTGGTTTAGGAGGGCAGAGAAGGGGCACAGGGGGAAGGTGGCATACACTAAGGCCACGGGAGCCAATACTTATGTGGCTCCATCTCAGGGAATACTGAACCAAGCTCAAGCTCTGTCTTGAGAATACTGAGGTAAACAAACAAGGCTTTGTTAGTGTGACGGCTATCACTAGATAGGTGGTGGGAGAGTAAAGAAATGGGTGAAAAAAGGGAATGGGAAGGTGCAGAAGACAGAGCAAAACTCAAACTAGCTCCCTCCCTGTGTTTCTCTCATGCCATGGTTTCCTACAGATCTAGCACAATCAATTTTTTTTTTTTTTTTGAAAGAGAGTCTCACTCTGTTGCCCAGGCTTGAGTGCAGTGGTGCAATCTCAGGCCACTGCAACCTCCACCTCCTGGGTTCAAGCGATTTCCCTGCCTCCTATCTCAGCCTCCTGAGTATCTGGGATTACAGGGGCCTGCCACCACACCCAGCTAATTTTTGTATTTTTAGTGGAGACGGGGTTTCACCATGTTGGCCAGGCTGGTCTCGAACTTCTGACCTCAGGTGATCCACCCACCTCAACCTTCCAAAGTGCTGGGATTACAGGCATGAGCCACCGTGCCTGGCCTGGGCACAATCAATTTGTGCAGTGGAACCCAGATGAATGCAGAGGCATCAAGAAATCCAGCATGGCAACTGAGAACCTGTGGCTTTCAGATGTCTTCATCGAGCAGTCGTGAGTCTCAGGGCCAAAAATGCAAAATGGAAACCACATCTACAGGGAAGGACATGATGTTACCAATAAGGCCACACAAAGACTCAACTTAGAAAAGAGCCGGGTCTGAATTGAAGAACTTATAAACCCCCAGAATATGATTATAGGTAGAAGAAAGAAGTCATCTGAGTGGGACTGGAGCTCAAGAATGGGATGACCTGAGAGAGAAAGAAGGTCAAGTCTGATGGGGAAACCCACAGCACCTACCTCTCTGTCCTTCTCCCACACAGCATCAGTGTGGATCAGACACCTGCAGGTCTCATGGCTAGTATGTCAATAGTGAAGGTCACATCAAATACAATAAGCCAATGGGGGTGGTCAGCATCTGTAAACTGGACACCTTCTATTTCCCCTTCCATGAACAGAGCTGCATGCTCTCCTTCAACTCTTTCACCTACACAGGTTAGTGGGGCTCACTAAAGTAGACTGTTGAGAGGCAGAGAGAGGGCTTTGATTGAGAAGAGGACAGAAAGCTGGGAACAGTGAGGGAATCTTGCTGAAAAGGGCCTGGATGCTAAGGAGTGAGGGATCCAACAGTCTGGGCAAGGGACTTGGGAGCATTTGGGGAGGCTGAGTCATCGGGGCCTGCTTTGCAGTGGAGAACACGGGCCCGGGCATGGAGAAGGACGTCCAGGAGCTTTCAGATACATCACAGAACCTCATTCAGAGCAGGGAGGGAGTGCGTACTGCTGGGTATCTACCAAAGAGCAATAAAAGTGACCATGGCCACTAACCAGTATGAACAAGCCATCTTCTATGTGAGCTCAGGGGCTGAGACCAGGTTTCACCATGTTAGCCAGGCTGGTCTTGAACTCCTGGCCTCAGGTGATCCGCCTGCCTCCGCCTCCCAAAGTGCTGAGATTACGGGCGTGAACCACAGAGCCTGGCCTTTGTCACTCGTTTTTTTGAGATAGAGTTTTGTTCTTGTCACCCAGGCTGGAGTGCAATGGCGTGATCTCGGCTCACTGCAACCTCCACTTCCCGGGTTCAAGTGATTCTCCTACTTCAGCCTCCTGAGTAGCTGGGATTACAGGGACCCGCCACCATGCCCAGCTAATTTATGTATTTTTAGTAGAGATGGGGTTTCACCACATTCGCCAGGCAGGTCTCGAAGTCCTGAACTCAGGTATCTGCCTGCCTCGGCCTCCCAAAGTGCTGGGATTACAGGCATGAGCCACTGTGCCCAGCCTTTTGTCACTTTTTTCACTGATAAACCTTCAGTACTGAAACAATACCTGGTACTCAGTAAATAGTTACTAAACAAAGCATCCCTTGAGGAAGAAACAAAGCCTCTATGCCGGTGATTCACAGTGAGAGTGAGCTCCCCCTGCCCCAGTGGCTGTCAGAACTTTTTGGAAGGCAGGAATTTTTGTTATTTTTAAAAAGATATGGTAGAAAGAGTTAGCAAACACTGTCTTAGGGATATTATGATTCCAAATCCTGATAACCCCAAAATATCTGCTACTCTCTGCTTTCCCTCCCACTGGTCTCAAATGTCCTCCTGCAAAGTCACTAGAGATTAGACCTTGATGAGAACAGCAATTAGAAATGAAAAGATAAAATGCACGTGACACCTAAGTCGGTGGTTCCACAGTCTGGCTAAGAGCACATCGGTAGGAATAAAAATTTAAGTGGAGAAAGTTGACACCTTGGGCCAAAAGGAATGAGATACATTTCAGTGGTAAGCAGCATGGAAGACTCTAACCTTGTGAGACGCCTTTGGATGGAGAGACTGGATGGTGAAAGGGACGGGAGGTAATATTTCCTTACTAGACAGTTTGGCCTGGGACAAATTCCAGTTCTTGCTATTACCTGTCTTGACAGCCTCCCATCCTACTCCTCACTTGCCCCTCCCTCTCCTCCCCACCAGGTGGTCATCAGGTGCAGGCACAGGCCCAGTCCCTACGTGGTAAACTTTCTGGTGCCCAGTGCCATTCTGGTTGCCATCGACATCCTCAGTTTCTACCTGCCACTGGAAAGTAGGAACTATGCCCTACTCAAGACGACTGTTCTGCTGGGCTACAGCGTCTTCTTGCTCATGATGAATGACTTGCTCCCAGCCACTGGCACTTCATCACACGCTTCATCAGTACGTCCTCTTCCATCAAGAGAGCAAAAGCGAGGTGTGGGTTGGATGGGGAGAGGGACCGGCAGAACCAGGTGAAGTGAAAAGGGATCCCAGAAAAAGATCCTCTGGGAAAGAAACAAGAAATCCTAGGTGGCGCCTCTGGCCCTCTTGCAGACCCCCTTGCCTGCAGGTGTCTACTTCGCCCTGTGCCTCTCCCTGATGGTAGACAGCCTGCCGGACACCATCTTCATCACCCACCTGCTGCACGTGGCCACCACCCATCTCCCACCCCTGCCTCGGTGGCTCTACTCCCTGCTGCTCCACTGCACCAGCCCAGGGAGATGCTGTCCCACTGCACCCCAGAAGGGAAATAAGGGCCTGGGTCTCACCCCCACCCACCTGCCTGGTGAGGGAAGTCACACTTCCCCTTCCCCCACCTCCACTTCTCTGCTCCTGCCTCCTTCCCTGTCTCCCCCCCTGTATAGGTGACATTTGCAGCCCGTGGCTGAGTCTCTGTCTTTCTGTAAGTGTGAAGGAGCCAGAAGTATCAGCAGGGCAGATGCCAGGCCCTGAGAAGGCAGAGCTGACAGGGGGCTCAGAATGGACAAGGGCCCAGTGGGAACATGAGGCCCAGAAGCAGCACTCGGTGGAGCTGTGGGTGCAGTTCAGTCACGTGATGGACGCCCTGCTCTTCCGCCTCTACCTGCCCTTCATGGCCTCCTCCATCCTCGCTGTCACATGCCTCTGGAACACCTAGGCAGGTGCTCAGCTGCCAACTTCAGTCTGGAGTTCTTTTTGCCTCCAGAAACCAGCCAGGCTCTCACGCCTGTCCAGATTTCAGCCTCGCAGCCCTGGCAACCACCTCATTTTTAACCCAGTCCTCTGTGTAGTTTCAGACCAGACCTGAATAGTCTCCTATGCCCTCCAAAAGTTGGGTCCTTGCTACTGCATGCCATCAGCCCCACTCAGCCCTCCCATACCTCCCTTGCTCCTCAGGATTCAGGTTCCTAGGGTACGTCCTTGATTAAATCACCCCAATACGCCCATTTGCAGAAAGTATTGGCTTTTCCCTGAATTCTGTTACGGTAAAAAAAGAAAAATCTTGGGATTGAGAGTCTTCTTGCAGAAACTTCTCCTCATTAGCCAAAGTAAGAAGGATTTTCTCTTATGTGTGTGTTTTTTTAAGTCTATCAGACAACATGTAAAGTGTAGGGAAGAGAAAGAAGGGGCCAAAATCTATTAGAAGGAATTACAGTAAAACAGAGATTAACTTCCTAAATCCAGTTACTCTGGACTTAAGCTTCAGAAATTAATGTGCCAAAACTAGGCCTCTCCTGCTTAAGGAGCACAGCCTTTTGTCACAGCCTGACATATGACTCATTCATCATTAAGTACTTAGAGTGTTAACATAATCCTGCATTACCGTTAAAGTGTCTGTGTTGCAATTTGAGTTGATCTACCCTTAATCATGCTAAGAAAAGAACATAAGGTCAAGGGAAGCACATTTGAAAATGACATCTGCTTTACTTGGGAGGAACACAAATGCCCTTGTATGAACTGGAAAGTGCCTTTTCCTAACACTTGCCTTATTATTTTGAAGGTCTCTTCCTAGGGACCACTAGCTGCCTTGCACAAGTAGAGGCTCTACTGTGCCCTTGGACGTGCGAGCTAAGGCATTTGTTGGTTCAGAAAGCACCTATTTGAGAGCAACTTAACTACAACTCGAACATCATATTTTCTTTTTCGCAATGATTTATTTCCATTTCTTTCATTTATTCTGCTACTTTCTGTCTGTAGCTTATATTTCCCAAATCATGACCATCTAGGAGTAAAAATAGACTCACAAAATGGTTCACTAAACAATATTTCTCTGGCTTCTCCTCTCCACTGCTCTTTCCCAAACTCCTTTGGCTCCCTCTGATCACTGTAGATGCCCAAAGGGTGGCAAGGCTGATAACGTCCACTAGAGGTGCTGCTAGTAGTGCCTGCCAAAAGTTCTACCCCACGTTGGCTGCAAGAGGATCTGCTCTCTCAGAGCCGAAGCCATGGTGGGGACTGGATCCTGGAGCTACAGAGGTTCCCAACTGGATGCTGCAACCCCAGGACCAGCTGTTACTTGCTCTTTTCTTTCAGTTCCACTGGGACTCCGGAGGGGCCCATGAGCATCTGGGGTGTTAAGTCAGAAATACCCTGCAATACTCTGAATCCTTCCTGTCACTCAGGCCCATGGTCTTCAAACCAAATTGTGTCCCTTCGTTCTCTTTGTAGGATGCATTTTTGTTTGTTTGTTTGTTTCGAAGGTCTTTTGCTCCTCAGTTTCCAGAACGCTGTCACACATTCTTTTCACCATCACCATCCTCCAGGCATATCCACAACCTGGAGAATACAACCCTCACATTCACCTAAGTAAATTGCTGTGTCTGTCATTATTTTGGCAGTTCCTGTACTCACAGCTTTCTAAAAGGTGGGCCTTCAGAAAAGACACAGTAATAGTAATAATAATAACCACCAGTTATTGAGTTACTAATATGTGGCAGGCACTCTAAGTGCGCTGTATGAATACTTATAGTAACCCTATGAAGTAGGAACCATAGATTCAAAAACCTTTGGAGCCAAATGTGTTTTGGAGTTCAGAATTTTTCAGATTTTAAAAAGGTCATAAGTGTGTATTTATTTACTATGTATTACTGACACCCCAACTAGGGTACGGAGCAGCACCCTGTAACCAAGCACATTAATATTTCTGCAATGAAATATATGAATATTCACACTAGGTGGAAAAAATAAAACTACGAATAGCTTTGCGTCAATTCTGGTCTGATTTTGCCACCAAATATTTGGCGTTTTTTTTTTTTTTTTTTTTTTTTGAGACAGAGTTTCGCTCTTGTTTCCCAGGTTGGAGTGCAATGGCGGGATCTCGGCGCGATCTCCACCTCCCGGGTTCAAGCGATTCTCCTGCTTCAGCCTCTCGAGTAGCTGGGATTACAGGCATCCGCCACCACACCTGGCTAATTTTTTGTATTTTTAGTAGAGACAGAGTTTCACCATGTTGGCCAGGCTGGTCACGAACTCCTGACCTGAGGTGATCCACCTGCCTCGGCCTCCCAAATACTGGGATTACAGGCATGAGGCACTGCGCCCGGCCGCCACCAAATATTTGTAAAAAATCGTTTGGTTTTCCAAGCCGTTTAGATTTTAGAACTGTGGTTTCGTATTATTGTCTCCATTTTTTACCCGTAGAAAATGAAGACAGAGAGGCCAGTTAGTGGTCTCACAAGGCTCCACAGCTAGTTAAGTGACAGAGCTGCAGTTTGACCCGAGGCTGGCTAACTCCTGGAGGCTGGACTCCTAACCTGTCTGCTACACTGCTTTCCAAATTGAGGAGGAAACCCAGAGAGGTGCTCAGAGTCCCATGTGGAGACATCAGTATCACTTCAAGTCTCTATCGGTTGACACTTGAGGAGAATTAAAACAGGAAGAGCAAGGCCCTGATCAGGATCCCAAAGACAAACTTTCTTTTACATTTCCTTTTACTCCCTCCCCTACTTCCCCGAGTCTCACCCCTATCCCTTACCCACTACCTCCCCACCTCTGTCATAAGACCCAGCACCTAAGTTCACTATTTATACTTTCTCCATTCCTTTCTGGAGAGCGTATTTCCCAAATCGACTCTGAGCAATCCATCTTTTCTCTGTGCTCCCTCTGGATTTAGTTTTTTTGCTGCTAATGTACGTTCTACTGCCAGACCCTTGTGGACCTTCCTTCCACTCCTATAACCCCATCCTGAGCTGGTCATTCTCACTTAGAAACTCATCCTAAACTTTTTCAGAGTAGCTTGTTTACCCAGCTTTTGAGGGGCTCTGAAATTATTTAAGATCAATTTGCATTATTTTGTCTTCCCCCCATCTTCAGGTACATATTTCTTTCTTTTTTCCTTTTTTTTTTTTTTTTTTGAGAAGGAGTTTTACTCTGTCACCCAGGCTGGAGTGCAGTGGTGCAATCTTGGCTCACTGCAACCTCCACCTCCCAGGTTAAAGCAATTCTCCTGCCTCAGCCTCCTGAGCTAGGACTACAGGCATGCACCACCATGCCTGGCTAATTTTTTTGTACTTTTAGTAGAGATGGGGTTTTACCATGTTGGCCAGGCTGGTCTCGAACTCCTGACCTCAGGTGATCTGCCCACCTTGGCCTCCCAAAGTGCTGGGATTACAGGCAGGAGCCACCGTGCCCAGCCGGGTACATATTTCTCTGCTTCATTTCTTCACATTTTCCCCAAAATGTAGCTTTAAGTTTTATTTTAACAGAAAGTCTGCAGTTTATCTTTTTTGACACATGGATTAAGATTCTATATATCTCCTTTTAGTAAGGCATGATATAATTATAGTGATTTTATTTTCTCCACAACCAAAAATCTGAACATGTGATCCTAACATCAATGGTAATCGTACAGAACCTTTGAATCTGGAGCTCTCCCACAAAATTAACAGGTGTGCCTGCTGCTTCGCTGTTCCACCTATAATAGAATCATATGATAAGTACACTTTGTGCTAATGACTTTCCTCTTGTTATCTGGCAAACCTCTGAAAGGCTTTGCAAGGTAATTTATGACCTCTTTAGAAACCTTGCTTATAGGCACTGGTCCTGCCTGTGCCACCTTGCATTTGATGGCCTGTTTCTGCCTGGCGGCTCCTTACTTTGTCCATTTATCTGCTGTGCTATCCTGTGGTTCTCACATGTTCACTTTCTCATTAGCTAAACCATTATAAGTAGTATTTCAGCCAGGCATGGTGGCTCACACCTGTAATCCCAGCACTTTGGGAGGCCAAGGCAGGCAGATCCATTGAGCTCAGGAGTTCGAGACCAACCTGGGCAACAGTCTAAACCTCATCTCTATAAAAAATACAAAAAAATTGTCAGGGTACTGTGGCATGCACCTGTGGTCCCAGCTACTTAGGAGGCCAAGGCAGGAGGATCTCTTGAGCCTGGGAAGTCAAGGCTGCAGTGAGCCAGGATCACGCCACTGCACTGCAGCCTGGGTGACAGAGTGAGACCCTGTCTCAAAAAAAAATACAAAAATTAACCAGGCGTGGTGGCGCATGCCTGTAATCCCAGCTACTCAGGAGGCTAAGGCAGGAGAATCGCGTGAACTTGGGAGGCG